AAAGGTTTACATATTCTAATATTTCTCCTCATCTAAAAGAGATATTAAATTGTTTTTGTTTAATACTATCCCCAGATGATTGTTTTACATGCCTAAATGTTTACCAAAAATCATAAATATAATTTTATGAAAAAATATGAATTATGTGCTGTCACAGACGGGACATTCCATAATAATGAGAGAAAACCATACTTTTCAATAAAAAGGGATAAAAATTATTCTCTGATATCAGTGCAACATTTCATTTGCTTTGCTACCTTTGTTACTCTAATTTAGTAGCAAAGAAACTTATATTTCGTTAATTGTTTAAGTGTCCCGTCCATGACAATCTGTCCTGTCCGTGACAAAATTGTCTTGTCTGACAAAAACTGTCCCGTCCGTGACAATTTGTTTTTGAAATATTATATTTTAGGCACTAAAAGCTGGTTGATAAAATATTAAGTTATAGTCTCTAGTAAGAGAAAATTTAATATTAAATTTTTCATAATATTACTTTCCCAATGAACGTAAAAAAAAAACCTCCTCAAATGTCACGGACGGGACAATTATGAATTTTGATGTGCAAGTATTTTTCTTGAAATCTGTATGCCTGATCACTATCATCATACCCAGTATAATAGATTCAAGTAAGATGTTTCAAATGATATAAACATGTATGCAAACATGCCTTCGGAACAGTTTTTTTTTTCAAGTTTTATTTACCTTAAGGTCGACTCCGTTTTAGAAAGCACTAATCACAGTATAATAGATTCAAGTAAGATGTTTCAAATGATATAAAAATGTACGCAAACAAGCCTTAGCTTTGGAACATTTTTTTTTTTTCGAGTTTTATTTACCTTAACGTCAACTCCGTCTTAGAAAACACCAGGATTAATTACACCAGGATTAGGCCTAATCACCACGCTGTTTTTGTACCTTGAAATCTGTATGCCTCTTTGACCATCATCATACACAGAATAATTGATTCAAGTAAGATGTCAGGGCGGATCCATGATTTAAAAGAAGAAGTTAAAAATGTTGATTCCTAGATGGCCGGAAATGAGCTTTCCCGACTTCTGAGGTGTCTTTTAATGACCTTTAAGTTCTTCAAAATTCAAGGTTTCCCTCTCTTGAGAAAAGGTCAGGGTAATTTTATCTCATTCTTTAGGCCTATCATAGAGGAAAAAATTAAAGACAGGCAATATTATAGTTCAACAACATTGAGTAGCTGAGGTAGTCCTTTCTTCCATGGATAGCCACTGACTTACATCCATTGACAGATGAATGAAAATACTCAACCGATGTGCCACCAAAACGTAACCAGCCTTCACCATGCCCTCACGATGTCACCAGGGACGCAACTGCCAAAAAAACTATTTTTGGCAGCGAAGAGACGCTACCAATAAACAATCAACAAACTACCGGGTTTCTGGGTTGATTTACAAGGTACTACCTGACTAAACTATTTTTGACTTGAGGTTAATTGGTAAAAATCGCACAAAAATCATACGACGTCACTGAGAACGCCGGTGACGGCAACTCGATTTTGAGATTAATTTTCCGAATAAAGTTATACTAAATAACTTCTAATGACGAACTGTTGTCTTCAGTTGTCTTTGTTGGTCATTCTAATGCCATTTTATCTATTTTTTTCGGTGATATTACCGTTCTCAATAATCTATAAAACACCAACATAACAACATCACGTTAGATCGATCGGTGGGGACGCCGTGGTGACGCCGGTAGGGTCAATTTTCGTCGGAAGGTATCAAGATGATAAGCAGTTTCATTGGACTAAATTCTTGCTAATGCTAACCATTTGCTTACCTAAGATTATACTGTCACTGGTTTCAAATGAAATAACTGACAACTTTGATTTGTATCAATGTTTTAATAAGTACATATAACTATGTCACAAATACGTATGCAAACAGGGACACCACGCTGTTATTTTTCTTGAAATCTGTATGTCTGATCAGCATCATCATACACAGTAATAATAGATTCAAGTAAGATGTTTTAAATGATATAAAAATGTATGCAAACATGCCTTCGGAACAGTGTTTTTTCTCTCTTTTTTCGAGTTTTATTTACCTTAACGTCGACTCCGTCTTAGAAAGCACCAGGATTAGGGCTAATCACACCAGGATTAATCACCACGCTGTTTTTGTATTTTTCTTTAAATCTGTATGCCTCTAATCACCATCATCATACACATTATAATAGATTCAAGTAAGATGTCAGGGGCGGATCCAGGATTTAAAAGAGGGGGTTCAAAATGTTTTCCAAAAGAAACCCCAAAATGAAATGACTGGGGTCCTCCCCCGGGAAAATTTTGATTCCTAGATGGCCGGAAATGAGCTTTCCCGACTTCTGAGTTGTATTTTAATGACCTTTAAGTTCTTCAAAATTCAAGGTTTCCCCCTCTTGAGAAAAGGTCAAGTAATTTTATCTCGATCTTTTGGCTTATATATCATAGAGGAAAAAAATCAAAGACAGGCAATATATTTTTATATTTCAACAACATTGAGCAGTTGGATATGTAGTACTTCTTCCATGGATCGATGAACCGATAGGCCTGAAGGACGCACTTTCGTACATAAATTATTACCACGGCTAACCAAGAACAGTGCTAACCAGAACTAGATGGGCTAAGCCTAGTAATTGTCTGATCTTCCAACCTATGTCTAGGTATGTTAGCATGCCTTTTGTAAGCCAGTTGTATATTGTTTCTTCACAGAGAGGGGTTCGTCCGGACCCCTTGAACCCCCACAATATGTTATATAATGGTAAAATTATATGTAACCGTGGATATAATATAAGTAACCAACATTGCTTTAGTTAATGGCTTCCGACAAAAAATAGACTCATGGTTTTGCAAAATCAACATATTTTTGTACACTATGATCTGGGGAAGTAGAGGGGTACCGAATAAGAGTACCGACATATATAATGGATCATCACATAAAATGTATTGGTATTTGGTATTCATAGGCACTTGGCCGACAATTATGGAATCGCCCATCATACAAGATGTGTATAAGAGACAGGGACATGAAGAATGCACTTTCGTACATAAATTATTATGATAGCGAACCAACAGTGTGTATAATTTATTTAATTGAAAACTAGATGGGCTAAGCCTAGTAATTGTCTGATCTTCCAACCTATGTCTAGGTATGTTAGCATGCCTTTTGTAAGCCAGTTGTATATTGTTTCTTCACAGAGAGGGGTTCGTCCGGACCCCTTGAACCCCCACAATATGTTATATAATGGTAAAATTATATGTAACCGTGGATATAATATAAGTAACCAACATTGCTTTAGTTAATGGCTTCCGACAAAAAATAGACTCATGGTTTTGCAAAATCAACATATTTTTGTACACTATGATCTGGGGAAGTAGAGGGGTACCGAATAAGAGTACCGACATATATAATGGATCATCACATAAAATGTATTGGTATTTGGTATTCACAGGCACTTGGCCGAAAATTATGGAATCGCCCATCATACACGGATGCAATTGTTATTATTTAGGCAAAATACTCTGTAGTTAACAGGGTAATCAAATGTTAAGCGATTGCCCTATTGTATTTAGTAGCAAAACTAGAGTGAACGTACGTGATTACCAATTTCAAATAATATTTATTTATTTAATTTTTTTGTTTTACTGTTGGTTTCCTTAAATGTTGATTTCTAGACCCTACTGGGCGCCCCGTCAATCGCTGGCGCGCGTCACGGTAACTACTGTACGTCAGTGGACCGACAATTCAGGCCCGTATTGGGGGGGGGGGGTGCGGAGGTGCGTGCGCTTACGCACACACCCCTACCCCACCCTCCATTTTCCAGGGTAGAACATTCAAAACTCACTCTCGCACATTCCAGAAATACATCCACGTCCACATCTCCTTGACCAATCAGAGGAATCAATCTAATTCGTCACCATACTCACGGAAAGATTTTTAATTGCCGGAGGATATTTTAAAAATCAGCAAATCTGCGTGGAAATCGCCAAAGTAGTATAAGTGTAATCGTGATTGCTGCATAATTGCATTGGTTATATATTAACATTTGGCACCTTCAAATGGTAATTTCCGACCATTTGGAGGTGTAATCACAAATTCCCTTCCCTCGGCCCCAACCATGTGGGGCTGAGCTATATCTCCTCCATCTGTAAAAGAAAGTCCTCTTGGTTCCCTTTTTAAATTCCGGGATCCGCCATTGAAAACCGTTTAATACATGGTGTTGAGAATTCGCTTTAAATAAGACCTCAATAAATGCCTAAGCTCCTCCCCCTGATCCCAGCAGGGGCTATCACCCTAAAGTGCACCACCACCCACCTCTCCAGAGCCAATGTCAAACATTATGTGTTCGAAAAGTACGAACAGATGAGAAGCAAATTGATAAACACAGAATGGACAAAATTTTGTGTTTCTGTTAACTTAATACAGTAGTGACAACTCTCCATACCTTGCAAATGTGCTTAGTTATTTAAAGCAAACAGAATGATCCTTCTCTGATCAAACTATTCTGTGCACATCTAATAAATATCATTACGTCCACTGTGTTGACTCTTGAATAATCGGTTCATACTCTTAACTGCCGAGACTTAAAACCAGGCTTTGGAGGGAAAAAATCTGATATGTTGTACAACTAATTTTCTAAGACAAATAAAAAAAAAAAACAAACAAACAAAAACATATACTGTAGACGAAAAACTGGGTGAAAAGAGGGCGTAACCGTTTCCAAATTTTCACCCAGTTCTTCAATATTCAAAAATCTGTATCTTATTAACCGCTCCAGAGATCTGTTTTTGTGTAAGATGCTTTTTGTATCTTAGGAAAATCAGTTGCACAACAAATCATTTTCCCACTAGAGCCAGGCTTTAAGCAAATAAAGCTTGTTGTATCTTAAATGTATTTACCATACGAAATTCCAGGGGCCAAATATCTCGACTTGTTCTTAAGACAATCCTAAAAAAATTATTTTCGCGAAAGTTTAAGATACTTTAAGATTGAGATTATTAAACTAAATAACGTTGTTAAAGTATCCAAATTTATAACCACCCTTTAGTTAGCTTAATTTTCCGACTTTCTTAAAAAGATATGTATTATCACAAAAATATATTGCAATCATGTTAACTAAATTAATAGGCTACATGGAAAAAAAAAACTCGAATTATGACACAAAAACCGATCTTAATTTCTATTGGGTAAATAAAATATAAACATTTTAAACTTGTGTAAGTATTTTTTTTTATTTCAATAAAAACTCATTACATATCTTCACCTAATGCTATAGACAACACGTTCAAACCATAAATCCAGTGGCAGATTCAAAAGGGGTGGGTGGGGTGTAAATTTTTCAAAATTATAAAAAATGGAGACAAAAATGTTCAAACTTAAGTCCCATAGTGCTTTTTTTTTGGCTATCTAGAGGTGCCATATGCAGACAGTACCGTTTCGATCTTGTTAGATCTCATCAGTGCAGCTGAGGATTTCAAGAATGAAACACACGACAGACTCAAACATAGCTTGGGTCAGCCCTGTGTGACGTGGTACACTGATTATGAATACAAGAGTGCACAAACCCAAAATGAGTGTGCTATGCAAATTGCAAAATAGTATTATATAAACAATGCACCATCTTAAAATAAGAGTGCTCTACAAAACAATGTATATATTTTATATATATGCATACATATATAATATATACATACATACATATATGTAAATTGAGGTATATCCTTTTTCTAACTTCATAAGTCTATCGAAAAATACTGTATTCAGATAAAAAATTGTCCATACTATAATCCGTATCATACTCTAGGTACAGTATTGTCATAGAAAATAAGTTTCAGCTACATACTATACAAAATAAAATTTACAATAATTAGGTGCATATACAAATCATGTCATGGTTATTCTTTGGAATAGATTAAGACGTCAGCAAAATATTTTATGTACGTATACAATTTTAATATATTTACATTTAAAGCAGCCAATGCATGAGAAACTTCCATCAGAGTCCCCAACTATGGAGTAGATGGAGAACAATCACTGTCAATGAATCGATAGCTTATTCCATTTTTTAAGATGCACTAGCTACCTTTAATCCCAGCCTGGGTACTATAGGTTAGAATCCTGTTAAACCAGGATAAAAAGAAATAGTCTCTCATGTCATCTAGAGCCTTTTTTATGGCAAGTTGTGGTGCAAGGATATGACAAATGGGGGAAGGGGTGATGTATTATATGGAAACGTAAGTGGGTGGGAGAAGGGGTCATCCAGTGGTTGAGGAGCAAAGGTTAAAAAAGCTAAGTCAAGTTAGGGATTTGAAAGGCTACTCTTATAACCTTTGAAAATACATAAGAATGCGTTTCTCCATGAGGATTTGTTAGCGCAGGGGAAGCTCTCTACAGCAAGGCCACCTCCCTGTGCCAACTCCCATCCAATGGCGGCCACTGGTTTATAGGAAATCACTTCCATCCTGAAATTAATTACAGTAGTTACTTGTAGCAGATGAAAAATAAATTTAAATAAAAAATAAAAAATAGGCCCTGACTTATAATCATATTAAATAATTATACTGCAACAAAATTCAACAATACCTTACATCCCATACATATATTATGCTTCATAATATTTCTTGCTAAAAAATTGCACGTACATTGTAAAACCATTTGAAAGTTTAATGTTAGCACACAATTTACTTATTAATATTAATAATACTGTAATTAGGTAATGAATCGATAGAAAATTAAACTCATTATTTTTTCAGTTGCCTATATTATATATAAGCTTTTAAATACCTTGTTACCCAAGAAATTTTCAGTTGACAGCACCTGTAAACCAATATCAAAGATGGGTACCTTTATAGTTAAATTATGCTACTTTATGGGATATTTTGGTAGATTATATCATTTGGTAAAATGCACAAATGTTACTGTATTTCACACCAAGAATGTAGAAAATGTGTTTCAAAAATGTTTCTACAAACTCTGACAACTGATAGACACCCATCTTGTATATAATTTTACAAGCACTATCAACTGCAAATCAACAAGGCATTTCTTGAATCTCAGACATAAAGGTAACTTAAAAATTATGACAGGTATAAAAGAGGGAGTGCACATTTTTGGTAACTTTCTGTTCTGCTCCCCATCCCCTACCCCATGGACTAAAATGACATAAATGTTCTTTCTACACAAACATTTCCAGAACCATGAGTTAAAAACTGGTAAAATTTTCTGATCATAATCAAAATCTGATTTTTTTTTATCTTTCACTCAAACATTATACTTCAATGGAATCAATAAAATAAATTACATTAAAAAATAAATTCTCAATTTTTCTTAATGTGGAGCTCCAGCCACAGATTTTCTCTATATATTCTTACATTGTACAATGATATGAAGAGATATTTTGAGAAACCATGATGAAAAAAAAAAATCAAGATCTTATAATAGGGATCCATAGTCTCTCGTAACTCATAGGAATCTCTCGGAAATCTGGACGGCCTCCCGTATTCCTGTAAGCAAGCAATAATCTCCCAGAAACTGTTTTCTGTTCATAGGTTCCCTAGCTACTGTAGTACAAAATTGGTATGTGGGTAAAGTGGGAAACATTGGAAGAAGTAATTTTCATAAACAAATTTTCATAACATCAGGATTGACAAATTTAAGTAAATTCACATAAGAATAATTATTTATTTATTAATTAACTTTGCGAACATACGCCTTTGGAACGGCGTCGCACACAAGAGTGGTGCGTTAAACTTAAATTTTTTTTAAATATTAAAATTAACTAAAGACGAAGCACACATCTAAACAAGCACCGACAAAAAAGGTATACACAGACTAAACTGTACATACAATATTAAACTACAATTTTAAAAAATCAATTAAATAATACCATTGAAAATTAAAGGTATGGAGTAACTGTATAATTTTATACAGACATACTCCCAGAATACAAACATACTGTTTTGGTATGTTACTAATTATCAATAATTAATTAACTAATTAATTAATTATAATTAATTATCACTATTTTTGGTACGGCTATCACACAAACACTATTTCAAAAAGCATCCTTTTCAGCTAGTTTGTGTGTAAAAGAATATGAATTTGACTATGTAATTTTAGCTATACCCCCACTTGAAAATGGGCCTTCATTTTTCTTATATTACCTTAAGCAAACTCATTATCACACTCCCCAATATGGGTGAATATTATTTTTTGAGAGTAATTAAACAAAAAATAAAAAGAAAATATGTGCTTGGAGCTCACCTTTAAGAACTTAAAAAAAAAAATTGGTATCTATTATAACTGGATGCAATCATCATCATAATACATATATTCATTATTTAGTGTTATATTTACTGCATCATATTTACCAAAATTTTCACAGTAGGACGGTTGGAAAAAAATGCCCAAGGAAAGTCCGACTATAAAAATTGTGAGGCAAACAAGAAATAAGGAAAGACGCTTGCACACCAAAAACCTAATGTCATCTCGAGCCAATCGAATATCAGTCTCGTGCGGGACAGTTTCTATATCTGTTTTCTCATTTGATAGTTCAGCCTTCATGAGTGTTTCTTTTGTTTCCTGTTCCGATACTTCATCAACCATGGAAAGCTTGTGGTTTGATGTGTCTGTGGAAAGGCTCCGTCGTAATTCTGTTCCATTTGTGTCCGCCTGTATTTGATCAAGACGTTCACTGTTTAGCTGTTGCATTTCAGACTGTTCATTTCCTTCCAGTATTGAGGAATTCGAAAGACATTCTAATTTTATTGCACCAGCTCTGACTTGCGCCTTTATAAAATACAAAATATTTAGTCACTTCTATTATCTATTATTTACTATAATTTAAATGATATTTGATTCAAATTATATTTGCACTTCCAGAATTAAATCACAATTCCAATTTCTTAAAAGTAATAATAAATATATGTGAAGATGCATCATGATGGTTATAAACTTTGACTTTCAATTTCTTTATTACAGTATTTAGTTATGAGAAATATCAGGATTAATTATAACAACTAAAACAAAAATCTACTCCCAAAATGACACTTAATTTGTAAAGATTAGCATATATGTAGTATAACTATAATTGGAGTTACAATAGTTAGATTGGAACAATGTAAAATATTAAATGCAGCTGAGCTCAGTCGGCTAAACTGGTGGTAGCCACTGCGTGTGCGCTAAGCAGTAGAGATTGCTAGGTCCCCGGTTCAAGTCCCGTCGCTGCTCTCCTTGTGTTTCAACTGGAGGGCTGAAATACTAGTTATGTTATATTGCACCATCTTTCGGATGAGACAAAAAAAAAAAAGATAAGAAAAAGAAAATATGCAATATGGCCCATGCGTATGTTATAGAACGCAGTACACTCTTCAGAAAAGAGTAGGGGATTGTCTCCCAGTGTACTGCCCAATCACCACCAGAAGGACCCCACTGGAAACGAGTCTTCGGACTTCGTGGGTTGTCCTTGGTGCGATGCACACCGAAATACTCCTATCCTATCCCTTAATTTTAATCTAATCAACCAACAGCAAAAACATTATCAATTGATTCAATTCTATTCAATTTCTTTTATTGGCATGTTGGATGGTCGAGTGGTAAAGAGCAGGGTAACATACAGCCATAATTTGGTTGGCGTTAGAACAAGTCTTCTTGGATAAGGACTATAAACCATTGGCCCTGTGTACAAAATTCAGCTCATGTGCACTTTAAAAGAACCCATTACATTTTTTTTGGCACCGGTTTATTGGGAAGCTCAGATACAAAGAGACACTTAGGAGAGAAGCAAGAAGTAAAAACTAATCCACACTTAGAGCACTTTCAGACCATTTCTGTATAAAGTGCTATATAAATCCAAATACATTTTTTTTAGTAATGCTACGATTTTATTTTTGAGCTAATATCCATAAAAACAAAGCAGATAAAAAAAAATGTAAGGTCGAATGACCTGCATACCCCACCCTAACTGGACTATAGGGATGTTACTCCACTAAGGTTATGACACCAAATTCATGCCCTGAAGAGCCTTGCTCAAACTCTGCCAGTGTCAGGTTTTAATTATAGTTGGATAACTTCGCTCCTTGAATATTAACCCTCAAATGTAACAGATACATACAATTTAACAATTACATCTTGGTACTATCGCTGTACTGGGCTGCTGTGTATAACCCAGGGGCCAGCCAGCATTTCCAATTTCAATTATTGGAATACAATTTAAAATACAATTAAATCTTTAATTTCAATTTCAAAAATATACAGAAATTGAAGTTGAACAATGCATAAAATTTTATAAATTTCAGGAATAATTAAGCCTATCACAAAAAAAAAAGAAGAAAAAAAAAAACAACATGCAAAAGGAAACCAGGAAAAATGTAAAAAACAAGACAAGGAGAACAATCAAAAAGAACATGAAAAACAATCATTTGGAAAACAAGGGAAACTTAAAAGAACAATCACACAAGAGGAGAAAAGAAAAAACATTAAAAAAAACATTAAAAAAATTGCACAAACTTGGACTGAGAAAATAAATACAATTTCATAAATACAATATATATCAAAACGGCTGAACATAAAATTAGTATCAAATTAAAGGGAAAATTTCATTAATAATAATTACATATTAAAAAAGTAGGAGCCAAATTTCATTTCAAAGGGATTATTGCACATCTTAAGCCTATTTTGAAAGCAAAAGAAAGCATAGGACAAAAGGTAAGAGTGGGGCAAAAGAGCTTACCTTGTGGCCCTCAAGATCCCAATCTAATTTCATCATGTAAATCAAAAGCGATGATCCTTGCGCCATAAGACCTAATGTGATACCAGACCACAATCCTGTAAAATAATCAGAAGAATCAGTTAAGTCGGCCATTTACAACGAGTCGCACGACGAATCCAATTCCGCTTCCTGGGTCTGAACTGATGGTCATTAAAAACAATCTGTTGCATGCGCACGACGGCATTACGTTCTCCATAAAATCATCGGGCGCAATGGGCCATGAACATAAACTACCAGTAGCATATTGACTATAATTCATATTTAGGAACAATATACATATCTGTTAAATAAATAACTAATACTAAAGAAGTATGCACCTTCGAAGTATAAGGGCCCATGCTGACTGAGCCACCTTGAAATTGCCCCTGCCGCATTCATTTTAGATGTTAAAAAATATGAACAATCAATTGACTAAAACAGGGGGTTCCAAACTGGCGACCTGCAGGCCATTTCCAGCCTGCGCGTGCATGTCATCCAGCCTAATATAACACACCTATTAAAAGAGTTAAAGCCTCTAAGCCTATTACTGCATCATTTCACACACTAGTACCATTGTTTGTTCATGTTGGAGTGGCCAGACTGTAACTTGCTTTACAAGCTTGCATGATCATTACCCTTCAAATTGATTCAATCTACAGAACACTCCTTAACTAAAATATTCTCTTCATCGTTACCCATGAGGATTCGAACCAAAACTATCCTGTTAGTTAATTCTTTGAGCTTTACAGTACAATCTAAGCAATAGTATAGTCCTTTGAATGTTATTACAGTTCACACCTACAGTACAGTACACTCGCCTTCCTTAAGCCCTGTATACTATCAAATATTCTTTAACAAAAAAAAAAAAAAAAACTGTTGTATGCCCATATATAGTCATGATGTGCCTATATACTGTATGGTCATGATGTGATGTCATCATGACCAAAATTAGGCATGTCACATGCTTTGTCAAATAAAATGTGATAGTCTGGACAGGGCTTAAGTGTTAATAACTATTCTCAGCCCTCAAAGTGAGGCCTTGTATTTTTTTTCAATGAATATGCAGATACCTACTAACTGGAAAGTGCCTCTATTTTTAATTTTGCCGCACGATTAAGACTGGCTATAGATCTCGACAGATGGTTTGAGTGGTTGCCACAAACCTGCCAATTGGCAAATCACTTGATGATGATGAAATGGTTAACTAAGGTTTTATCAAGTTTACTTACCAATTATTCCTAAATCTGTTTTTAACATCAAGTACCCTCCGACTGGTAGGCATATGATATAGTAGCTTATAAAGCCAACAATGGCTCCTATCTTCTGATGACCGGCGCCTCGCAGACCTCCATTGCATACGGCCTAAAAAGACATCAAATATCACAACAAAATCAAGGACAGGAATTGAACCCAGAACCATAGGATTGGAAGCAAGCATCTTAACCACTAAGCTATTTTAACTCCACTGTTATCAACCAATCCATCGCTTGTACAGTATGTATATTGTGCCAAATTCCAAAACCAAATTCTGTTCGGTGGTACACATGAAATTGACAGGTTCTTACGTACCTTAAAGTAAAAACGTTATGGATAGGATAATAATACATTTTTTTTTTTTTATAATCTACATTTTTTTTTTTTTAGGTAGTATTCAATTCTGCAGAAATGTATCATATCAATTAATAAATAAATTAGAAAAGTAAACACCTTTATAAATAAGCAAGTAAATAAATCATTATATTTCTATATTTTTTGAAACCCAATGTTCAATCTTCTTTAATTTTTGTTGTGTTTATTATCAACATTAATGTTTTATAATCTATGTTCATCTTCAAATTGTTTGGGGAAAATTGCAATAAAGTTTGTCATACCATATAATAATAGGCAAAATAAAAAAAAAAATATTTTTTTTTTTGGCCAAGCCCGACAGACCCAAAATATATACGAGATTAAGGTTAAGATTTATTTTTTTAATGAGCGAAAAAGGCTGGAATAGCCCAAACTTGCTGGAAAATAGGCGATGCAACAGTGTTATTTTGCTCTTCAATATTGATTTATAAATGGTCTTTGCTTTTTTAGGCATAAACACATTATTGTGTGTTAAAAAAGAAAAAAAAATTCCTACCGACCTACCCATTATATTGATTTTCCCAAAACTTGACCAACAAAAGATTTTTTTTATTGGTCTAATTGCAAATGTCTTGAAAAACAAAAGTGTTAAGCTTTTCGGTCATATTTTGGGCACACTTATAATATAGTATTTTTGTTTATTTTATCCTAAAATGTATTTTTTTTTATTCCAATGAAATGGTTGTACATCAGTCCAATTCACTTGCAAACAAAAGAAATCAGAGTAGAAACATCACACACAAAAAGATGTTCACCATTTGTGGCAAAGACAAGCCAAACCAGTCACTCGTCGCAAATTGTGTTTCAGAGAAAATAGCAAAAACATGCTAGAATGTAATTTTTTTTAAATCTATATTATTTCACTAAACTGAGGTTTATGTATGTATACATCATGCTGTGCTGATATTTTTCCCAATTTCAATGTTAAAACAACACTTTTTAAAGATTTTATGATAGTTTCTGCATGAGAAATGCCTGAAATCATAAACTTTGAAGGCTGATTTCTCATAATATTGTTCTTTAAACAGTTTTATGCTTAAATGCTTGTAACTTCATAAGGAAATGTTGGATTTGAATGATTTTTTCTACCATTTTATAGCTCTTATTTTACTCTTTAACCCTGTATTATTAACTCAAAATCGATTTTTGCGACGAGTGACTGGTTTGGCTTGTCTTTGCCACATTTACTAGTACCAACAGTAAATAAAAATGATTTAATACTTACGCCAGTGAAATCAAAGAATGAATATACGACACACAGGGGTACAACTTTGGACACCAGGCTGATTATTTCTCTACGAAAATAAAATGTGTTATAATAATTTACATATTTTGCTCTAAAAGTACACTGAAGCCTGGTTTCCATAAAATAGCTACACTGTTGCTCAGTCCATGAGGCAATCAGAAAGGTGCCCCGATTCAACCAACCAATCAGCATCACAGAAAGCTGTTGGTGATAGCGTGTAGTGATGTATGGAAACCAAGCTTAACAATTAATGTAACAAATAAAAATTAATGTAAAAAAAAAATTTTTAATTATGTTCTCATTGGCATCAGAGAGCCACTAGGCAGTGATTCAGTTTACTTTTTGGTAATCCTGTCCGACCAACTGAGTGTTGTTTTTTGCTCTCTGTTATCTTGTGTATTTTAATGTTTTTTGGACAAAATAAATGAAACGAACAAAATCCAAAACTGAAAAGTAAATCATATATCTACATTTGTACTAAATAAATTCATTAGATCCGATAACAGTTACTATAAAGTTTACTAACCTTTGTACTAAATATATCTACTCATGTATGATGAAACAAAAGAATATTGACCTAAACTTTTGAATATACTTACGGATCGTCAATAAAAACTTTAGCTAAATGATCCTTAGTTGACAACCACAAAATACAAACAAACAATGCACAAACCCCTGTAAATAAAAAGAAAAATTAATTGCTGTAAAAAATAACTGTTTAAAAGTCTATAGTACATAAAAGAAGAATTTAAATAATAACACGGGGAACCATTGTACCACCTTTCATAAACTGGTTTGAGTATTGCATATACATTTATTTTATATTTATATATTTTAAATGATCATATAAAATACTTTTAATATAATTACTCAGATAGATTACTAAGGTATTTTCATATACTGTAACATATTGTTTATTTCATAATCATTGTTGTTTTTATAACCCATATAATGTTGGTTTAATTTAAATTTAAAATAGCTTAATTCATTAAAAAATCAAAATAAAAAAATGATCGGTAAAATTAAATGTGTTGATAATAGAGAAACAGACTTGCAATGGTGACCCTAGACAATGGTAATATTAGAAATGTTTATTTTTTACTTTTTATAAACCCAATGACCCTAGCCAGGGAGAATGACTATTGGGACCCTCAATGCTGACTGCAATTGAATCATCCCGCTGTAATCAAGTCACTATAGAGCACTAAAGTGATACATCACGATACCACATGGTACTACTCAGTTGCTATTGTTGAAAAATGCTTTCAACCCGACACCATTTTCGCCACTAATAAACCGTTGATCCCAATTTCTAACATAATTATTAAGATGTTTCATCTTACTTTTTATTTGTAAATTTTAATTGATGATTAAATG